CATGCTATAACCCCTTTACTGGAGATCCTGGACCTGTCAGAGGTCAGAATGAGATCAATGGTAGTTTGTGTTGTTTCACATACCCGGGTGGGTTGGGTGATTAGCTGGCTGAAGCCGTGCAGATCACAAATCCTACTGAAGGACTTGAAGACGGACGTGTCTTTACGTTGCATATCCGTGTTCCAGTCTCCAACAATAATTGTCTCTACATCCCCCACATCAGCCAAACACCCATCTAATGTATCATAAAAGTCACTCTGTTCCGGTGGTCTATAGATTGTCCCGACTATTACAGATTTAGCATTGTCAAAAAGAATTTCAACCCACACAGATTCAATATTTTCATGATGCAGGTCAGTACGGTTTTTGAAATTGGTGTCTTTATGTATGTACATGCAGACACCACCTCCATTCACGTTCCTGTCCCTTCTCACTACAAGATAATCTTCAATTTCAATCTCTGAATCTGTAATGGAATTGTCCAATTTGGTCTCAGAAAAGCATAATATGCTTGCCTTACCGTTCATGAACAGTTGCCTGAGTTCAGCCAGTTTGTGTCTCAGGCTGTTAGTGTTCAGATGAAAAATATGTAGTCCATTTTTGTTGTTTAAATGCATAATGTCGTCAGCTTGCAGATATTTGTCTTTGTCCGTTACAGCAAACGGCTTGCGGCCTGCCGTGGTGCTTGGAGCGGTGGGGTGGTGGGGGGAGGGAGGCTCCGTTGTAGCTTTAGCCGTCGATATGCTAGCAGGGTGGCTAACAACATGGTGGATATTTGTTCCCTCGGATCTCGGTTCTCTTCCTCTCGTCACTGCCTCATGCGTGTCTGTCTGCCGAGGCGTCCCCGGGGGAATGTCGAAGTCTCCGTTGATTCCTCGGTCTCCGCTGTCTCCATGGTCTCTGTTGTCGTCGCGTAGTTGTTGCTGTAGCGGAAGAGATGCTAGTTGTGATGCTAGTTGTGATGCTAGCTCCTCGAGCCTGCAGGAATGGCTTCTTGTCTGCACCGGGCCCGGATTCAAATGGATGTCTCCCGCTAACAATAAGACCAAGACGATCATACTTCTTCGGTCTAGTTTGCCTGACGGGGGTAAGTACTTTCGCGTCGGGTTTGCAGTTAATAATGCATGAATGCTTGCACTTCCAAAAGCGAGGTGTTTCCTTTCCCAGCCGTTGAGAAGGTAAAAGTCATTGTGGTTCATTTTATCCCTGCTTTCACTACTCTCCTTCTCTAAGTGATGTTGCCTCATTGATGAGTTGAGGTAGGAGTCCATAATCCATATTGTCAGGAGGATGAAATATGTAAAAAATCGTGAGGAATAACCTCCAAAGCGGGAGCTCTCGAAAATGCGACCACTCATAGCGAAACCGGAAGGACTGGTAGCGTTAAGCTCCGACGTTATCTGACTTTTTATCGGTAGTGGAGACATTTAAAACATATATGTCATGTATTATTGCTACATGAACATTATATCGCAGTTTTAGTTTCGCCAACTCCGTTTCTAATATGCAATAAGTCTACAAAATGCGTCTATGATGTATTTTCGATCTTATTTTCGATCTTTCCAATCCAGACGAGAGAGCTCTCTCCCCCGTCTGTGTGCGAGGGGGCGGGGCAGTTTGTAAAGGTCTCCTGACTGTGTTACAGACTGTCATCCTGGTTAGTGGTTACTCTGGGTTCTGTCTTCTGTCTTCAGGACAGAGTGTTGGATGTTTTTGATAATTGGATAGAACTTGATTGGATTCAATATTAGAGTAACTTTCTCGCTTGTGTGTTTTTTTTAAATATATTTGGCCTTTGTTTATGTGTTTGACTGATTTACTCAATTAAAAAGGTTGATGAATTATCATCTAATGATTTGTATGATGTTTTATTTATGTTAAAGGTCACTTTGAATGATTTTAACTAATGATAATGTAGAAAAACTAATATTTTAAATTCGGGACGGTCCACATTAATTTCGGGACAGCTTAGATTGTATTTCGGGACGGTTCCGGGAGGATGGTGAAAGAAGTTAGCCGAGAGCCCTGCATGCCCCCCCTCCGTGTTGTCCCCTCAGAGGAAGTGGGAAAACGGGATAAGACTCTGGACACCACGCTGTCTCAATGATCCACACTGTTAATATGAGAGGAAAATAAATGTTTTAGGAAATGAAAAATATGACACAGCTCAGGGGCAGTCATGGACGGTAGGTTTTCCTACAAAGTTAACTCAGCCTCCATTGATTTTCATATCAAATTAGCGTGTTAATAAAATAAGCTATCATGGCTTATACTTGCATATCTAAACAGAATCATGAAAGCCTGTTGGTAGAGTCAGGCAGACGAGTCCGTTTGAGTGTGTGCGCCGGTGTCTGAACGCTCACTCACTGCTAGCTATGTTGCTAACTGTTAGGCTACTTAGCTTGCATTGTTATGGATCTAAAGGTAGCAAAAGCTAACTTTCATAGCACAGCTTTCCTTCTCACTTAACACAATAAAGAAACAGACCGTATAGTACAGCACAAACAACACAAATGATCAATACTTACATATATTTTCACTTGTAGTATTATAATAATTGAAATGCTGGTTCTTCTGGGGGTGTTCTATCCACGCTCAGCTACCGCACCGCAGCTGCCTGCACTGTACAATCGCTGGAGGACTGGGCTGTCACTCAAAAACTGAGTAGCCAATGGGGACGCACCCCTGAAAGTCCCGCCCACCTGGGAGGTTTGTGTCAGAATCTCAAACAAGTGGGAGTGGAGCCTCGCAGTTTTTCAGGTTGATATGTGAAGCTCATTAGCTAGCCAACATGTATCTAGCAAATGTTTAGCAAAATATTAGAAGTGAGGCTACTAGACTAACGTTAGGTCTACTGTAATAGCCTCACTTTTAATATTTTGCAAAACATTAGCTAGCACTAGTGTTTTGCAGTTGCTAGCAGCTTATTGGGATTTGATGCTAGATAGACAGGCATTGTTTTGATATAATAAATTAAGCATTATTGTTAGTTAAAGTGGACCTATCATGCTATATTATAATAATATAGTGTAGGACCATACCTATATAAGGCATATTTATACTTTTTTTTCCTTCAAAATACCAAACAGATCATGCATTTTAGCCATGCCTCATTTTGCTCAAATTGCACTTTTTTACCCCTGTTTTTGCAAGGGCTGATTCTGTGAGAACAGCACCACCTACAGACCTGGCATATGTACTACAGCGTCTCCAGCGCTTTCGAACGGCAATGGCCGTGGCTGTCTCCTCCTGATTGGTGGAGTTGGCCCAATAGCCGTAGCGCCACTGTCCTGACGTCAGGACAGTGTTCAAATCTGGATCAGTTTTGATCAGATCCGTTGCAGCCCCTTTTTTAGAGATTTGGGTATGGAGGAAAATAGAGAGGGTTGTGTTTTCTGACACTTGGTGAGTTCCCTGGAACACCGGGGACACATATTCATGTATAAAAGACGTACAAAAGTGCATTTTGCATGATAGGTCCCCTTTAAGCATGTCAGCCTGCAGCCCCACTTTTAACTCTCTGTCTCTCTCGAACTCATTGCAGATGGCTGCACTAAAGAAAAGGGCACAGAGAGGAAACCAGTTGTAAGATGTTTAAAAGTTCATTAAACATAATATATGCTTAAATGCATTTCAAAGAAGTTGTGTTAGAGTTTGTGTTATTCTACATTTTGACACCAAGATTTTCTGATTTTACTGCAAATGTATATCGGTTCCAAATATCGGTTATCGGTCTCCTTGATTACTAATAATCGGTATCGGTATCGGCCTTGAAAAAGCCATATCGGTCGATCCCTAGAAACAAGAACTGCAAACAAAAACCTATGTTAAAACAAAGAAAAAAGACTTATAGTTTACATGATTACACAAATGATTTTTTTGCAACTTATAGTTTTATTTTAGAAATTTATTTTATTTTGCTTGACTCAACTCATAGTTTTGCTTTATTCTGAGAAAGTGTTGCTTTATTGCCAGCTAAAATCTCGCCTAGGGCAGCAAATTGTCTAGAGCCGGCCCTGCATTAATGGGAAACCCTAGTTTGTACATGTTCAATACATTTGTAACACTGTACACATGAACGTTTATTTTTTCGGTTCACCAAAAAAAAAAATCTCACTCCAAGCTGAACTCAAAGGTTGGCAGCCCTGTGCTGATGCATTCACTGTCGGATAACATGCAGGTAACTAACTACTAATGTAGCCGGACTGGGGCAACGAGTGTCAGTAATAACATGTCAAAGCTTACTAACGTTAGTTCACGTTAGCGTTAGCTGACTTAAATTGGTGACAGTCAGGGCACGTTTATCAGTCACGTGACCTTATTGTAAAGTGGTGTTTACTAATAAGGCAGTAGTCTATGTCATAGTGTTAGAGCCTGACAGTTCATTCATAGCATTCAGGAATGGATGCATCCATGCGGATGTATTCAGCTACGGTCATTATTTAGTTTTGAAATGTTTAAATAAATGCTTTCATATAAAATAATTGATGGAACAAAATCTATAAGGCACATTAGAGAGTTTCTTTTTTACTGAATGCATTAAACGCGGGGCTTTCCTCTGCTAGCAGGCAGTGTGCATCGGACTGCTGTCATTAGAAGGCTGTGGCCAGTTAGCAGAGTAGCAGCCGACCTGAGAGTCCCTGCCATGGTAAATGAAAGCGAGACAAAGCTGCAGGAGACAATGCAGTGCTGTAAGCTGCTTCTGATCTTTGCTTTTTAAATTACACATTTCGCTTCCAGAAACCCATCCCCCTCCGTCTCTTCCATCTCCTCTGTCTCCGTATCACTATTAACCTTCCATCGCATTCCGTGCATTTTGGAGACAGCCCCCATACCCCTCCCCTCCCCCAAATGACACTACGGCTGGCTGTACCTGAGCCCGAGCAGCCTGCAGCCTGCAGCGGGCTGATGCAGAGCTGCAGCATTGTTACAGCCGCTCAGCTGCACTGATGCCCGGCAGCAGCACCGTGAGGAGCCCGGCTCTGGACACCGGAGCTTACCTTGCTTTGGCCGATCTGTCGTAGCCCCATCCCGTCCCAGCCCCGAGATCTCCGAACCCTGCAGCGGGGTAATTCCTCTCCATGAAAGAAAGGCTGGATGAAGATGGGCAGATAGTGAGGGGGAGGGGAGGGAGGAATGTGATCTCTTCTCTGCGCTCGCTTCTGTTTATTTCACCGCTTCACGAGCCTGCAGACTGGGAGGAATGGAGGGAGAAGAAGGAGCGAGGGGGGGGGGGGGGGTCACAGCAGCCAGGAGCACCTCCTCCCTCCTCTCCTCTCCCCATATATCTCACTGTCTATTGTCTTTGGTGCTCAGCTTATGAGTCGTAGAACAGATGCTCTGCGTTCTTAAGCAGCTTTAATAAGAGGAGCAGTTACACATCCAGCCGGCAGCTGCACACACACACACACACACACACACACACACACACGCACACACACACGCACACACACACACACACACACACACACACACACAGTGAAGCTACTTTCGATCATTGTGTTCACAAGACGCCATTTTTAAAAGAAATGACTGGGCTGGCGTTCATCCTCTTTCCCTCCCTCCCTCGTGCACACACACACACACACACACACACACACACACACACACACACACACACACACACACACACACACACACACACACACACACTGTGTCATGCACAGCAGTATGGTGTATTGTGACAGACTCAGCTCAGTGGCGTGCTGTGGAACAGCGTGTGAAGGAGGATGCTGACATCCTGCTCTTTGGGTGTATCTACACACACATGTGGACCTCACCTGTCTGTATCGGCCTGACAACTTACAACACTTGCAAAAAGACTGGAGGCATGTGTAATTGTTGTGTAATTTATTACATAAAACATGCTCAGTTTTTTTGGAAAAAACAATTCTCCCTATGAAAAGATTCTTGTCTTTTGTTGCTTCGTTTAGAAATACCTTACAAACACAACACAGTTTGGTGTACAGCAGTGCTTGAATTGGAATAAAAAAGGTGCCAGTACTCTAAATCAGCAACTGTTTCAAGTCAATTTATTTATACAGCCCAAAAACAAGAATTTGGCTCAAACTCATAGTATATCCTATAATGCTGGTGGGTTTGTCTCTTTACTGTATATTTTAGAAAGGCTCACTGTACTTAAACAAAATGACTCAGGGTGCATCTGAGATTAGAGGGGGTGCAGGGGTAAAGTGCTATTTTTATAAGTAAGGAGTGGATCTAACACAAGATTTTTTTTTTTAATATTGAAGTTAAAAGCATCAATCTGGTGCACTTTGAGAGCAAAATGAAGAGCACATCTCTCAACATCCATATGAAACAGAACTGTAAACAGATTTTCAATTTCTTTATGGATATTTTACAAATCACTCCCTTTTCAAACTCTATTCTTGTTTTACTGTCATATAGTATTTCATTTTTAGTGAGTTACTCATAATGAGTACCAGGAGACAGCGTTTGGTACTCTGGTACAATTGTGGTGAAGGCATCTGAGTTAGATGTATTTGAACCGAAATGTCTACAGGCATGGCAGAAGATGGCATCTTTTTTACAGGAAATTCCAGCCAATCTCTGTTTTTAAACCATGAGCTGCAAAATGAGCGCCTTACCCCACTGTACAGGCGAGTTGGGAACTTGTTTAAATATACCTGGGCAGGCTCTGTTTAGCCGAGGTCCTCTGGCACTTGTGGGCCGCCGAGGGGTGGCGGTGTTTGGGGCGACGGAGACTGCTGCTCTGGGGGCGAGGCAGGCAAAGCGGCGGCGGCACCTCATGACGCATCTACTGAGTACTGAGTACCGCCGTACCGGTACCGTGCCAGTACTCAGTAAGAAGTAACGGTACCAGATGGGTACAAATCAGAAGTCCCGGTACTGCGTACCGGTGAGTACCGGCCCAATTCAAGCACTGGTGTACAGTGAAACCACAAAAATGAACCGCACCCTCATACTTTAAGCATCAAGTGTAGTAGACAGCCAACACGCTTTGTTCATCATTCTGTCAGTAGCGTCCTTTCGGTCCTAACTTTACTTATAAATACAGTAAGTAGTTGACTCAAACCCCCGGTGCCCACCACAGCTCCAGCAGAGGCTCAGACCTCTCTCTCTCCGTCCCCGGGATCAGCGGGTTCTGAGGGCGCGCCCCTGTCAGAGAGAGGAAACATTTGTGAGAGGGCTCACACAGCAGCGTGTTGGAAAAAGACAGAGCTGCAGCATACTGTGGACCACTGAGAGCTCCAACAGACTTTAAATAAAAGTGTAGACGATGTTGGGGGATCAGAATGGTAAGCGGGCCAGGTTTTTCTTTTAATTCAAACACATTTTGCGGTATTAGGATATGGGAAAAACTATCTTCAATGAAAGATGTATTTTTTTAACATACAGTACATTTTGTAGATAATGTAGGTTTGTCATTAGGAGATTTCTTTCCAGCTTCACCTGTATGCTTTGATGGTGTTTGGCTGGATCTTGGACCACCACACAGGCCTGATCCATGAAAGATGCATGTACATACTGTAGCATCCCTTACCCTGAATAAGGTGGTGGGGAGGCATCATGTTGCCCACTGCGGGTCAGAGCCTCATTGTAGCTGGGTAAACCTGGGACCATGATCCCAGCCAGAGGCACGGTCTCTGGGGCTGGACGGCCGTCTGCTGCCATCCTCACTGGAGCTCTGCACAGAGGAAACACAAACACTCAGTTACTGTCACGCTCAGTCTAACACACATGATGCTCATTTGTGTTTTTAAAGATTGAAGTGTGGACATTTATGGTTGTGCTAGAGAGTGAGCTCAAACATTAGGATCTCTCCTGTTGTTAGGGGGTTTGACTCATTATTACTGTCTGTCTGTTTAAGTTATTTTACTATGCTTTGAGATGATCCCTGATAATGTTGTGTTTTGTCTTTTTTCTTCAGTCAGTTATTTTTTACAGACTAAGAGATTTGTTGGCCAGGCACCAGGAAGGACATTGATTGATAAATGTATTAATGCAGGATGTTATTAGGTTGCATATACCATTTGACATTTGAATACATAGAATAGAATACAATCAAAGATCAAGATTATTTCTTCACAAGAAATAATAGCCGGACATTGTTTTTGCAGTTAAACTTAGAGGTTTCTTTAGGAGAACAATCATATTTACTTTTTGTCCCATGACTCCCTCCTACAGTAACAGAATGTTTAAAATAATTTATTTCAGAAGCCGCTGTATGACAAGTGACCTTCCTGTAGTACCTCGAGCCTGCAATCAACATTCAAATATTAGGCACTCATTTTTGACCAGCAGATTTCAGGTTTTGGACATTCTTGAGTCATGCTAGTTAGAAGGTCAGGGGGGCCGGGTAACTGAACCCAGACATATCATTAGAAGAGGATCCTTCCCATACCACATCCGTTAGGAGAGCTAAAATGTTATGGCCTGAGACAAAGTGCTGGTTGGAAGGCCTGAGGGACCAGGGGTTACATTGGGATTTGATATGTGGGGGGGCTCTGTGTGGAGGTATATACACAAAACACTTGTACGTGCTTTGTTGATCTGTCGTACTAGAATAGTTTTAAATATGTGTGTGGAAATCTCAGTTCATTTGTAGGGCTGCGTGATTATGGCCAAAGGTTTGCTGTATATCTCACGGTAAACAATTTCACCATCACCACATTCTGTGATATTATGAGCGATCATAACTCAGCTTTATGCACACGCATACATTTAGCATGGTTTAAGAAATGGGCTCCGTGTTACAGGACGGGTCAGGTGGTTCTGCAGCACCGCCGCAGACTCTCTGCTGATTAGCGGAGTCCGGCGGCGGGGGGCTGCAGCTCCTGATCGAAGCAGAGACACGCGCTCACTAAGCCGACAAACTATAGCCGGTCACAGAGTTCTGCTATTTTAAAGTATCGACCCTAAATATAGTGCTGTCAAGAACGAGAAAAGTTTTAACATATATATAAAACTATATATTTATATATATATATATCGTTTTTGGAAAACCTATGACAAATGTGCGAGGGCGATGACGTCAGATCGTCCTATGTGCCGGGCCCAATTTAACCCCTGTGAGGGACTACAGTTATAATTGTATTCACTTTAATATAAGTTAGCTGGATAAAAGCGCACCTGTGTGAATGTTCACATCAGGGTGAACTTCTGGGACTGACCTTCGTCCACTTTTGTTCTTGGCTTTGTAGCAGTAGATTCCCAGCACAGTGGCAAAAACAGCAGACACCAGGACAGCCAGGATCCCGGCCACCAGCCCTGACACATCCACTTTGGGAGAATTCGCTGCAAAGACAAACACCACTAACATCACACCATTGCTTCATATTAACCTCTCATACCATCAGTCAGCTCTGAGTTAGGGAATGAGAATGTGACGTCATCAACGTGAACTCGTCCATCTTTGGAGGATAGTGGCGACCTGTCTCCTGAACCTGTACAGCGAGCGGAGTGGCCATAACTTTTCACTTGAACGTTTTAATGGTCAGTAAGTTATGTTGTGTCTCAGGCTTTAACAGCCACTCCTATGACCTAAGAACAAAACAAAGACCATGGGATTACATTTTATTCTTCTAAACTAACAGGGAGACGAGGGGGACGTAGAAACCTCAGCAAGAGACGCTGAATGTGTTGAACTAGAGGACCACAAATCACTACACTGGGAACGTGATTTAAAACAGTCGCAGTATGACATTAATTATGCATGATAAACTGACGTTTTGTTAGCATAGCATCAGCTGTCTTACCTCTGTCCGGATGACTCAATAGTTGTCATTAAACCTGTATATTAAACACCGCCATTTGTGAACTTGACATTGGCCATCAAATATTTAATATTTTTGAATTACCTAGGTAATAGACACTTACTCCAAACACCAGAGAGGACCGACATCAGAGACACTGATCAGTTCATGCTTCTCTTAATTCATACGGACATGTGTTATTCATTAACACTTTTTTTTACTTTGGAGGTTATTTTTCTTTACTTGCTTGTAACGCGCTTTGAACACTAGGAAAAGCACTTTATAAATAACATGTATTATTATTATTAAAAAAAATGTATATAACGCTCACTCTGTTCCTGCCCAGAGCTTCTCTTTGTATTGGCATATATATTTTGAGCATACTATTCATTTAGATGCAAACTGCTGACAGATCCCGGGAACGCTGATATTGACGGCTGCAGCTGTTAGATGATGCTATCCTCCAAAGATAGCCTTGATGCCCCAGAATGCTCCGCAACTCCCATTCCCTATTGCAGTAGTTTGTTCCCGATTCGTACAAAAGTATTTTAGGTGAAGAACCAAACCAATCACTTCCTGAAACAATCTGTCTATTCCTCGGTTCAGTTGGGAGCGAGTGGTCATTTGCAAACTATATCTTATCCGACTAAATTCAGAGCTCATTGGTTCAGAGCTGATGGGAACGTGTGGCAGTGTTTGTGTTCAGTTAGTGGGACACTGTAGAAGAAGCACCTAGCATTAATATCATTCACAGCTTGTCATGATCTGTCTGTGTTTTATTTTGTATTGTCAAGATCTGTCTTTGTTTTCCCGTTTTACTTTGAAAGGTGTTCAGCCCCTGTCTCATGTCTGCATTTGCTTCCTGTCTGTGTTTTCCCTCCTGTCTGATTGTGTTCACCTGTTAGCCCCCCCCCCTTGTGTTTCACCTCCCCTCTCCAGCTGTGTCTTGTCTTGTGATTACCCTTGTGTATTTAGGGTGTTTCTCAATGGGTGTTTCTCAATCGTGAATACGCTTGCTTGGTAGCACATGTCTGCCGAGCATCTTGCTTCAGAAGCGAGTCAAGAATACTTCCTGACATTTGGAAAACGAAGTGTGGAACACGCTAGCAAGTGTGCAGGTGTGCGTCATATGAGAGGCCCCGCCTTACATCTTCCGCCACAGATTTCCGTGCGCAAAGCATTGTGGGGATTTTAAGACCGCGAAGTCTACTCATGTGCAGACTCGATATTTCTCCAAACGGAGTACGCCGGGCTCGGTAGATTTCCAAGTATACTGGAGATTGGAACAGTACTTCGGTGGCACTCGATGACGTAGTATGCTTGAAATAGTGGCTCTGAAGCAGCTTTACTCGTGATTGAGAAACACCCAGAGTCGAGTAAAGCTGCTCCAGAGCCACTATTTCAAGCATACTACATCATCGAGTACTGTTCCAATGTCCAGCATACTTGGAAATCTACCGAGCCCGGCGTACTTCGTTTGGAGACATTTCGAGGCTGCACATGTGTAGACTCCGCGGTCTTAAAATCCCCACAATGCTTTGCGCACGGACCAATTTCCCCAAATCTGTGGCGGAAAATGTAAGGCGGGGCCACTCGTATGACGCACACCTGCACACTTGCTAGCCTGTTCCACTCTTCGTTTTCCGAATGCCAGGAAGTATTCTTGCCTCGCTTCTGAAGCAAGACGCTCGGAAGACATGTGCTACCAAGCAAGCGTATTCGCGATTGAGAAACACCCATAGTCTTGCTTGCCCTTGTGTCCCTTGTCAGTTCGTTGTCGTTTTATGGTGGTTTGGTTCCTGTTCCTCGTGTTCTGGATTTCCCTGTTCTGCCCTCCTATGGTCCCGGTTTGTTTGTTTGTTACTTTCTCTTTTGTTCCCCCTTGCCTGCTCCTGTCGTTTTTGTATTGAAACAGCTTTTTATTTAATTAAAAGCTCGCTTTTAATAAAAAAAACTCTTTGTTTATACTGCTTTTGGGTCCGCAATCTTACCAAACCGTGACACAGCTTACTTTTGAGATATTCTAAATGACCAAAGATACACTCTAATAATGTGTTGCAGCATTCAATAGTACCCCCAAATAAAAATTGGGGATTTAAAACAGGCACTGTGACCAAATCGGGAACTTTAACTGAGCAGATATAATAAGTAACATTAGCTATACAGAAATTATACTAATCATAATTGATTATTATAACAACCATAAACATGTTGATATGCATGTATTTTGAACAAGAAAACACAACATTGAACTGAATGAGACAAATTCCAAGCGTTCAACTACAATCATGGAAATCATTCATCTTTTAAGAAATTACCTTGGCTGTCGACATAGCTCTTCCAAAATGTTTCCTAAAATTGGAGAGGAAAGAAACATTTTAAGAGTTATTGTTTAATTAAAGCAAAAGTGGGTTATGTACGGAGCCCTGGAGGGTTCATAGAGAGAAAAATAAATAAAACGAGGCCACGTTTTATTAATTTGTGCGCACGATATACTCTCTCGTTCGCACAAGATACTTTTTCGTGCGCACAAGATACTTTTTCGTGCGCACAAGAACGAGAAAGTTACCGGTGCGCCAAGTAGGAAGTGGAGCACACAGGAGACAACCGTTTCATTGCAGACAGTGGGGAAATGGCACTGCATACATTATTTGAGATATATTTCAAACTCGGACTTCATTTTAGGGACATTTCGGCCAGAGGTGTAGAGCTATTTGTTTAAGCACCAGATCGGCAAAACAGGAGAGTCTAAACCCGTCTGCCTTGATCAATGAATTCATGTCCGTGACTCTCACAGTATCAGCTATCTGAAAGAAAAAAGAAAGCTGTGTTTTTTACGCGCCGCCTTCACTGTGTTTACCTTCATTAGAACAGCTGAATAGAGATCGAGGCTGCTACGTTTATAACCACACACACACACACACACACACACACACACACACACACACACACACACACACACACACACACACACACACACACACACACACACACCCACCCACCTCTACACACATTGAACTGCCCGATTATTCCCCCTATTACTCGTTTTATGAAGGAGATGTCCGGTCACCGGGCGCATGGTGTGTAAATAACCCAATTTGTGTTCTGTGAAACTGAAAAGGATATGACATTGTTTTTGTTACTTTCGTTGCAGTTGTATATGTCGTAAATGTAATTTAGGTTAACTTCCTGTTTTATTTAGATGCTTTTATTTTGAAGGCAAGTTTATGCTGTTGACAGGAAGTTGTTGTTGCTATGGAAACGTGAAATGCTAAATGATGTGTGTGTGTTTGTGCTCTGCTCAGCGTGTGTTTGTGTGTGTGTGTGTGTGTGTGTGTGTGTGTGTGTGTGTGTGTGTGTGTGTGTGTGTGTGTGTGTGTGTGTGTGTGTGTGTGTGTGTGTGTGTTCGGTGTATGTGTGTGTCCGACCCCGGCATTTGTTTTCAAATTACCATGAACAGTAATTTACACACATCTGGCTAACTCCATCTGTGTATTCCCAAGTGAAAGAAGTTTGTTTAATCTTAATCTCGATGTAGGCTAGTGCTAAGTGCTGTCGGAGTGCACTGGAACGAAAGCCACTATCATAATATCTTCTGAAAACAAATGCCCACACACACACAGACACACACACACACAAACATACACACGCCCTGGCGACCGGACATCTTCTTCATAAAACTAATAATATGGCGTAATAATCGGGCAGTTCGATGTGTCTAACCATAAGAAAGTATCTTGTGCGCACGAGAAAGTATCTTGTGCGAACGAGAAAGTATATTGTGTGCACAAATTAATAAAGCGTGGCCTCGTTTTATTTATTTTTTTCTCTATGAATCCTCCAGGGCTCCGTAGTTATGTATTGTATATGAAATATTTTTGGACAGCAATAAATGAAATGTCTGTGTCTGCCGCAGGACTGATATAAGTCTGCCTGCCTGTCTGTCTGTCTGTCTGTCTGTCTGTCTGTCTGTCTGTCTGTCTGTCTGTCTGTCTGTCTGTCTGTCTGTCTGTCTGTCTGTCTGTCTGTCTGTCTGTCTGTCTGTCTGTCTGTCTGTCTGTCTCTCTCTCTGTCTGTCTGTCTGTCTGTCTGTCTGTCTGTCTGTCTGTCTGTCTGTCTGTCAGGCTGCTGACAGCTGTTTGTTGTTCATTCTGATATTTTCCGTTGATAAAGATAATTCTGGAGGAGTATTGGGACGGCTGATTGGATGGCGACCTATTGCACAACCCTCATGTCCAACATTTAAAAGTATATAATATCACATGTGAGTGTTGAGCAACTCAATGGACAGAGGCAGGAAGGACTGCTTATAGCGGTTCAGCCTGCTCTTGGGAACCCTGAATCTTCTACCAGAAGGGAGGAGCTGGAGTTCTGGGTGGAGAATGTGGGGGGATCAGACACGATTTGTTGTGCCTGTCTAAAAATTGACTGCTCATATATGTTTTGGAGAAATTGATGTTTTTTAACCCCCATAACTTTCAGAGCAGTCTGTACCAGGCTAGCGATCTGTGACTTCAACTGGACTGTCAAGTTACCATGCCAATACAAATACAATGCAAAATAGCAAATGTAACAATGTAATGATAATAACTAAAGCCATGCCTTTAGTCATTAGGCATGCCTTTAACTAAAGCCCCCCACCCCCTGAAGTCTGCGCTGTCCCCTCTCCTGTAAGCAGTGTAGGTGTACAGAGACAGTGTCTTCCGGAGCATTACCGTCTGGGTGTTGTCCTCAAACACCTCCCTGGCCTCCTCATAGCTGCACTGCTCCTCCACACACTCCCGCTCCAGATTGTCAGACACCACTATCTCAAAGTCCCAGCTGTTATAGAGCAGGGAGCGGGACAGGAAGGAGGACGCGGCCTGGCCGTCCAGCAGCACTGCTGTAGGACACAGAACACAGGACAGTCATATCAGTGAGGAGACATTTTTAAACTCTGGAGTGCTCTCACCTTTTAATGATCTACTGAGACCACAGACTCACAGACTCACAAGGTCGCTAGAAAACTAATATGATACTACAGGATTATAATTTGTGTTATGTTCATCACTTTAATGTTAAATCTAGTAAATTAGATGCTCATTTATGTTTTTGATGTATATATATATGGCTGTGACGCTTGTAAGTTTCACCAATAGAGTTATATCTTAACCCTTTAATAATATATCGATTATAAGTTGATCATACTTTGTAATATAAATAAGAATCTTAATCTTGAGAGTAAAGCTGTAAACTAAATGTGATGAAATAAAAAGTACAACATTTGCATTTGAATTGTAGAGGAGAATAATGAAAAAGGAGATACTCGAGTAAAGTCTCTTTAAAACGTAAAAACAGTACAGAACAGTACAGTACTAGGTGAAGGTGCTGTTCAACAATGCACACATACATATTACAAGTGCCCAGTTTTATATATGAGATACAAACGTCATAATGGTGTTTTTTCTTTTGGTGGGTGTTTCAGTGTCTGTGCTAACCCTGACCAGGTGAGGACAATACCTGCTGACCAGGGAACTCACCAAGTGTCAGAAAACACAACCCTCTCTATTTTCCTCCATACCCAAATCTCTAAAAAAGGGGCTGCAACGGATCTGATAAAAACTGATCCAGATTTGAACACTGTCCTGACGTCAGGACAGTGGCGCTACGGCTATTGGGCCAACTCCACCAATCAGGAGGAGACAGCCACGGCCATTGCCGTTCGAAAGTGCTGGAGACGCTGTAGTACATATGCCAGGCCTGTAGGTGGTGCTATTCTCACAGAATCTGCCCTTGCAAAAACAGGGATAAAAAAGTGCAAATTGAGCGAAATGAGGCATGGCTAAAACGCATGATCTGTTTGGTATTTTGAAAAAAAAAAAGTATAAATATGCCTTATATAGGTATGGTCCTACACTATATTATTAAAATATAGCATGATAGGTCCACTTTAAATACAGCACTGAAAATCTAAGGACTTCAGTGTCTGTGCTAACCCTGACCAGGTGAGGACAATACCTGCTGACTCAGCAATCTCTGTAAGTTATATTTTTGTTTAAATAGACCTATCTGTTTCATTTATTCTACTCTGTATACATTTTCTACAGTTATTCTAGCTAAAATTGTGCTTTTGGGAGACTTTGAAAATCTCAGATCTGCTAAATATAAACCTGTTACACAGGACTGAGTGGGGCACTTGGCTGTAATGGGGCATTTCCACCATGGCGCGGAGCGCGGTTTAAACGTGCCGTGTCGTGCCGGGCCCGTTTTTGGTTGCGCTTCCACTAGGCCTAGTTCCGGCCCGGGGGTACTTTTTCACCTCTTTTCTGGCCCGACAAAATCGTGGTTCTATCGGGGCCAACAAACAGGGCTGAGTCGGGCTGAGTTTGCTAAACTAGAGAGAGAATCGCTGGCAAGGGGGCTACAACTACAACAAGATGAACATATTTGACCGTGATTTAATTGTAATACACGTTTCAAAATGATGCCGAAGTAACAATATACTGATACCGGTTAGTAAAAACCATGAATTAATGCTTTGACAAGTCTGCAGACAGACGGCAGGTGAAAAACCTTTTAAAATGCGTGTTTTCTAAATGGAGATTGGCTAAGCTAACGCAATATATGCTCCGACCGTCCACACTCACAACAACGGCCTATACAGACATAAATAAAGCAGCGACTGTATTCGCCATGACACAGACAGTCTGTGGTTTGTACTTGTTTAACTTTTGTCTAGTTTCTGAACAGATATGAGGAGCTGTGAGCTTGAGTGCTAACAGCTAACGGCTGTGTTGTTTTTCTGGGGTTCTCATTGAAGATGACGTCACGGCTCCGCCTACACTGCGTTACTATAGTAACTACCCCAGTTCCTAAACTGTAATGGAAGCGCAGCATGAAGTGAGCCGGCCCTGTTAAGGCCCAACGCGGCCAAGCAGTACCGAGCGTGGCCGAGGCCGACCGTGGGGTGGAAATGCGCCATAACTGTGCTTTACAATAGGCAGGAAGACTCTACTGTCACCCATCAGCTGTAGAGAGTTAATTAATTAAAGGGGTGTAGGCCCACAGCTGTGACAACTCAGCAATCAGGACAAAGCTTCCATTTTAGGCAGCTCTTTCCTGGAGCGTCAGACAGACGAAGACTGACAAAGACATTGGAGTCCTGCGGGAGACTCAGATCCTCCTTCGCACTCTCCAAGAATTTGGTGTTTCAGGCTCTGCACTTTCCCTCCTCACCTCATACCTCAAAGACCGTACCTACAGGGTAACTTGGAGAGGGTCCGAGTCCGACCCTTGTCAATTAACTACAGGGGTCCCTCAGGGCTCTGTTCTTGGTCCCCTCCTCTTCTCCTTGTACACAAACTCGCTCGGATCTGTCATTAGCCCGCATGGTTTTTCATACCACTGCTACGCTGACGACACCCAATTAATTCTGTCCTTTCCCCGCTCAGAGACCCAGGTCGTCGCACGCATCTCTGCTTGTCTAGCTGACATCTCTCAGTGGATGTCTGCTCACCACCTCAAGCTCAACCTCAAGACTGAACTGCTTTTCCTTCCGGGAAAAGATTGTCCCACCCTTGACCTAACAATCAACATCGGCCCCTCTGTTTTTTCCCCGACTCAGACTGCAAGGAATCTGGGTGTGACCCTAGATAACAAACTGTCCTTCACTGCAAACATCGCTGCTACAACCCGCTGCTGCAGATACACGCTTTACAACATCAGGAGGATACGTCCCCTCCTGACCCAGAAAGCGACGCAGGTTCTGGCCCAGGCTCTCGTCATCTCACGCCTAGACTACTGCAACTCCCTCCTGGCTGGTCCCTCCTGGCCGGTCTACCTGCATGTGCCATCCGACCTCTGCAGCTCATCCAGAATGCAGCGGCTCGTCTGGTCTTCAACCTTCCTAAATGTTCCCACACCACGCCACTCCTCCGCTCCCTTCACTGGCTTCCGGTAACTGCTAGAATCCACTTCAAGACACTGGTACTTACGTACCATGCTGTGAATGGATCTGGCCCTTCCTACATCCAGGACATGGTTAAACCATACACCCCAGCACGTGCACTCCGCTCTGCATCAGCCAAACGGCTCGCTGCACCCGCACTGCGAGGGGGACCCAAGTTCCCATCTGCAAAAACACGTCGGTTTGCTATCCTGGCTCCAAAATGGTGGAATGAGCTCCCCATTGAAATCAGGACAGCAGAAAGCTTACACATCTTCCGGCGCAGACTGAAAACACATCTCTTTCAACTCCACTTCGAGCGATAGAATTACTAACAAAGAATTTCTATCAAAGCACTTATATACTAACAAAGGACTGGCTTATCTAAAGCCAGTTGAGTAGCACTTGAAATGTTTTGGCTCTATAAAACCTGATGTACTTATATGATTCTGTTTTCTTCAAGTTTGTATCTTCTTGGTCGAATGCACTTATTGTAAGTCGCTTTGGATAAAAGCCTCAGCTAAATGCAATGGAATGTAATGTAATGTGGGTGCAGTGTGTCTGAGAGGAGGGTTCACCTGGAGCCGGTCTGGAGAGCACGGAGCAGCAGGTCAGCTGAAGCAGGGCCAGCAGGGCCAGCCCGGGGGGCCACACCCCCCCCACAGCAGCCCTCACAGCTGCCATCACAGCGCTACACTGCAGGAAGTGAGCAGAAGAGCCTCAGCAGTAATGGATCCACGCCTGTTCAGACGAGCCAGTCACCTCCTCCTCCTCACTGTGTGAGTGTCTCTTAAAGCTTCCAGGAAGAAAACAGCACTAACTCTTTCAGATTCACAAAGACATGGAGGTGAACTTCTTCGTGCTGCGTTTCAGGTGAAACCGTAGTGAGTTGTGCTGTTTTCCCAGAGGAACGTCACATTACAAACCTGTTGGACAGCATACCAGCTGGAGGGAGGAACCTCCACAAACCTGTCTGTCAGCCTGTTTCACTGTCCACACACTGCTTGTTTACTATGGGCTCAGAACAGTCTCATAATACACACATGCACACAGAAGGATTCACACTTGTATTTCATGATCCGCAAAAGGATTCACACTTGTATTTCCGGATACACACTTGTGTTTTTCAATGCACACACAAATGTGTTCCGTTTCATATACATGTAAATAAAATACAAATACAAAAAAAGGTTTTACATATGTATTTTTGATCACATATTTGTTTTCCGTTTAAATCCCCTGCACCTACAAACACAAACCGCTTTCTGTGCATGGATCGCTGTGCATTCGTGTGTGGGTTTTTTGAGACTCCCCTGACGGTGACCCGATTCGTACTTGTAATTTTTTCTATCTATAGCCAATCAGATGTCTCCTCAATTCTAAGCCAATCACATGAGCGCGTCCCCACGAGGGTAGATTTCTTGCGTTCATGACACTTCATATACGCATTTTGCGCTGTCCGGAGCAGGGTGGACAGAATTTATTTTACCGGACAAATTTGAAACTTACCGGTCATGTTTCAATAAGAAGAAGAAGAAGAAGAATTGTGTAGCAGAGTTTCCGTTAGCAGGTAATTACCGGACTATGACCGGATATGGCTAATAACACGGGAGTAACGGATCCCCTCTTTTCCTCTCTCCCTCCATCTCTCCTGACAGCCCGTCAGTTTCTCATGCAGCTCGCTAAAACTTCACTCGCGTTTATGTCCATATCGATCAGATCTAGCTCTCCTGTTCGGCCTTTATAGAGAGCACCGATCAAACTATTAAGAGTGAATATCGGCCGATAATGACCGGCGGGGCTCCCCCCGTTGACAGTTCACTGTCTAGCACTGGCTTCGTAGTGCACTGATCGATTAGGCTAAGCTAACCTGTAGCTGCTCCCTCCACACTCACAACAACTTCATACAGACATAAATAAAGCAGCTGTATTCGCCATACAGGAAACACACATTTAAAACGGTTTTGCCTGCCATTTTTGTGTACACAAGCATTCATTAATGGTTCGGAAAGTGGCACTATACCTTAATAATTTAAATGCTTGTATTTGCGTGCATTTCATGTTCGGAAAGTGGCAATGTACTGAGAGTGGAGGTGTCCTGAGATTAGCGCCTGCAGGCAGGCTCCATGGACCAGTCAGCTCCGGACAGCGCAAAATGCGTACATGAAGCGCAATGTCATGAAATCAAGAAATCTACCCTCGTGGGGGCGCGCTCATGTGATTGGCTTAGAATTGAGGAGACATCTGATTGGCTATAGATAGAAAAAATGACAAGTACGAATCGGGTGACCGTCAGGGGAGTCTCAAAAAACCCACACACGAATGCACAGCGATCCATGCACAGAAAGCGGTTTGTGTTTGCAGGTGCAGCGGTTTTAAACGGAAAACAAATATGTGAGGATCAAAAATACATATGTAAAACTTTTTTCTGTATTTGGATTTTATTTACATGTATATGAAACGGAACACATTTGTGTGTGCATTGAAAAACACAAGTGTGGATCTGGAAATACAAGTGTGAATCCTTCTGTGTGCATGTGTGTATTATGAGACTGTTCTGAGCCCATAGTTTACTCACTTGTTTGGCCCATCAGTTACAGTAACAGGGTGTGTGTGGAGTTCAGTGGCGGCGCCAGGGTATGGCTGGGGTAGGCTACAGCCATACCAAGAAATGGCTTAGCCCCACCTTAGCCCCACCATGAAAAATGATGTTAAAGCTCCCATGTCATGCTTTTCCGGTTATTACCCGTCCCCTTGTGTGTTATGAAGGTTTTTATGCATGTAAACGGTGTGCAGAGTCAAAACCCTCAAAGTACACCCTGTAGCGAGTAAAACTCTAACACAGAAAATACCTCCCCAAAACGCCTCGTTGGAGATACGTCACTGCCCATTTGAGTCTTCCATTTAGTTCCGGGTACCGCCTGATGTCATGCGGTACCCGGAACGAAATGGACCAATCCCGAAGAGCTATGGCCACACCAGCAGCGGCGTGTTCCTCCTCCAGAGGTTCGAAGAACCGGCACTTCACAGACGAAAGCTTCCAAAACATTGCCCAGTTTGAGGCCGGATATGCACAGCTTGTTTGGACCGTTTGGAGCAGGGGAAGATCTGGGTATACAACCTGTAAGTTTGCATTGTTATTTGTGTATTTATCAAACAAGACTGTTTAAATGTGTAAACTGTGTTGGACTGCTAAGCCATTGACACAGTGCTAACTGTGCTAACTAAGTTGCTAGAGTTTCCATATATCAACTCTAATATCAGCAGATGGCCTTGCATACATGTATCTCATAGCAGGAGAATGTCTGCATTCACACACAAAATACCTATTGACAGTATACTGCGGGTGATTTGCCGGTCAGTCGCGAAACGTAATTACATTATAGCTGGCGTAGCGATCTAACACACGGAGCTTGAGCTAGTTTTGGTCAGAAAAACATTTTTGTGATGCTACGTTGCTAGCGTTTAAATATATCAACTACAATGTCAGCAGATGGCCTTACATGTTTGTCATGGCAGGAGAATGTCTGCAGTCACACACACGGAATACTCATACAGTATACTCCGGTTTACCGTACATTGTGACCGTACATATACTGCATGTAGCTAACGAGGCTAGCTGTATGCTAGCGCAAAACAATGTATTCATGCAAGTTACATTGTATGGTAGCAGAATACCCGTATACGATTGCAATTATAAACACGTTATTGCTAGCCTAATATGAACCACTAGCTTTTGTTCATAGTAGTTTTATTACACTGCATTATAGTTGCCTTTCCTCCAAGCTAACGTTCATATCGTGTTAGCTACCAAGGTAAACAAAGCTAGGTTAGCATATTAGCAGGCAAGCTGTTCATTACACAACTACTACTAACGAATCTAAAACAACTAAGTTTCTCTAATATTTTGTGATTTGCATTTGATTTCGTCCAGCCAGATCCTGGCGGACAATACATGACGGGGAAGGGATTCTACTGAGGGTGCTAAAAGGCACCGCACCGCACCGGCTGTGCGCAGGCAAGAGGAGGAGGAATGGATGATATACCGTGTATATATGTATATTTATGTTCATTTTGTACATTTCTAAAAATAAAGTTTAATGGAAATACTTAGTAGGCCTATCCTTTCTTCCCTGAATTCATATATAGCAAACCATGATTTGATTTCTCATCAAACAGTAGTAGTTTATAACGGGTAAAAATAACTTACTCTTTGTTATGAGAGTAGCTCGTAGGCCACAACGGAAAGACAAGGAGACATACACGAGTTTACAAAACCACGGCACATTTATTGTGGTAAATGCAAAGATAGGTGGTTGAGAGGATCGCAGAGTTAGTCTTCCTGCAGCCGCTTTGGAGAGAGACTGGGGCCGTAGTGTCCGGAGGTGTCCGTGATCGTGCTGATTACCCTCTTCAGCTCCACCCCATCGTAAGACAAAGGCCCTGGGGCCGTCACACTCTTCTATAACAACAGTTAAAAATATATATGTATATAAAATATACCGCTGTACCGACGCCATGATAAGACTGATGTTACGCTGAGAGCAGCCGGGAAAAGCACTGACATGGGCGCAGCCTCTCTGGTGGTTGACTAATCAGAACGAGTGGCCGAGCTGACCAATCGGAGCACACTAGGCTCACAGGGAGGGGGGGGCAAGAGCTCCAACGAGTCGTTTAGTGGAGAAAGTGAATACTGCTGAATACACATGCTTGACAGAGATGCTGTATGCGAAACCAATGTGAGTTTGGAAAATTGCACAGTATAAATCTATTTTAGTATACCTCAACAATGTAATTATGATCAGTGGAAATGGCCATGACATGGGCCCTTTAAAGTAAGCAAAATAAAGTCCGCCAACTCGCGCGGAGTAAATTGCACAGACAGCAGTTAGTAAGATTGATTTCAGTAGCCACTTGTCTGGAAATACCGAAGACTAGAAACGGTTTTGAAAACTTTTGTCACGTAGTGATCGTCTTCTCAATAAAACATCTTTGATAATGTGTTAGAAATTAAAATCAATGTTTTATGGCATAATTTAGTCTAAAACATACCGTCAGTTTAAAAGCAGTCTTATGAAGAACTCATTGATTTCAGTATTGTGTTCACACCTTAAAAGGTGTGAAAGGAGGGATTGTTAGAAATTAAAATCAATGTTTTATGGCATAATTTAGTTTAAACATTCCGTCAGCTTAAAAGCAGTTTTATTCTGAAAATCCTTCATTTCCGGTTAGCATTAGCATGTGGCTAACGTTTTGAAACCGTGAATTGAAGGTGAAATGACATGTGATGTTGTACACTAAACACACTGGGATTAGCACTCATTTATTGACGCTGAATAACGTTTATCAGGGAATGTTTAAATAACCACAGACACCAGAAGGATGTAATTTAGCAACAAAAAAGGCAGGAATTGCATTGGACCCGCCCCCCCCGACGACGCTGGCCAATAGGAGAAGACCTCAGATGACAACAGGAAGACCAAGCCAAGAATCGGGCAGTTTCTCCTCCTGACCTGGGCTGACCAACACATGGGGAGAGTGTCTCCGCTTGCAATTTCATTTGTAAACCACCGCATCTTTTGTGTAATTAAATGCTGTTAACTTTTATAAGCTTGCCTTGACTCTTTTCAGCCTCTCCTGCTCTCGGGGTTCAAGAATATCTAACAAATGTCTTCTGGCCAATCAGAATCACGATAATGGCGTGGTGTTGTTGCAGGAAGTCCCGACGGAGAATACTTTTGCTGTAGTACATCTCTATATACATCGATACAACATTATGTGTTGATAGAAATCAACACGTAATGAAATAAGACCCCACGGTTTGATGATTGATAGGTGTGTGGGCTGTCTTTCATTTTGACACACAGAACAATGGGGGCTATCCACCCTTATCCACAATGTAAAGTAATTCACACAGCCTCTT